TAACAGGATCAATTTTTTTCTTGAAGGAACAATTGTTTTAAGGTAAAATAGCAGAATAATTTCCCTTTTTTTTTCTATTTCTGTCATTGATTAAAAACCAGACACCACCTTATCAGAATCACAGATAAAGCCATTCGTTTGTTTCATGTCGTTCTGTGTTGATGTCTCGAAAATTTGGTTGTTGCGATGTTTTTTATTTTTTTCCATGCATCTAATATTTTTTAAAATGGTGATCGTAACAAGAAGAAACTACTTGTTGGTGAGTAATTAACTAGGAACTCATTATTTCTTGTGAAATTGAAACGATAATAATCGTATAAGTTTTGTGGGAGGGATGATTATGAAAATTCATTGTTACAGAGCCCTGAACAAGAATTCATTTAGATTTCTTGAGAAAACAACTGTTTTCTCAAGAAAAAATTTATTCTGTTACCCATTCAACCTATCTTCCGAAGTGCTTTGAAGAGAGGGGGGAGAAGTCTCAACGCTAATGAGGTCACAGTCATTTTTGAAATTTAGATTTTCTTTCGAAATGATGAATAAACCGTTCTCTTATAGAACTAATGAACGATACTGGTGATTGTTTGTTTTTGTACATACAGTACATTTCTTCAATGTCCTGCCCTTTTATTTTTTGAACAAGTCAACTCAAAAACATTGAAATTTTGGATTATGAAATTATTGCATGAATCCTTTAGTTAAATAATTACTTGAGTTGAATTGACATATGAAACTTTCAAGATGGCGACTGGGCGCCATCTGGAAAAAAAATTAAATGGAAAGGTAGGTTTTGTGACACATCATTTGGAAGCTCCTGACGAATACTTCACATGCCTCAAATATGCAATGCATATCTTCTTCACCTACTACAAAATGGCGGAACATTTAATAATTTCCTGAAGACAAACGCATTAGTACCGATATTTCTAGAAGTATTCGTTTTTATCTGTCATATGGCAATTCCAACAACCCGATAAGGTTTGTTGAGTTATTTTTTGTTCATAAAAATGACTAAAAATGTCAATTCGACAATGAACATCATTGTTCAGTTAGAATATTCTCATTTAGTTTTCGGTTTCACTAGTAGAAAGGTACAATGTCAACAATCATTTACGGTGCGACGCGTAACTGTCACGAGACTGAAAGCATTTTCAATGAACGTTTTCCGAATCGTTCTATCTATATAAAATATTTGAGGGAACTTGTATCCAAATTCACAACTACCAGTAGTGTACATAATTCGATATGGATATTGTATTCCAACATGATGGAGCACCACCACATTACTCCAGACAAGTAAGAAACTATTTGGATACTACTTTTCACGGTCGTTGGATTAGCCAGCAAGGTCCTACAGAATGGCCAGCCCGCTCGCCAGATTTGACACCTTTGGACTTTTTTTATGGGGCTATTAGAAGCAAATGGTGTATGAAACTAAACCTTCTTCAATATTGGATATACGGCAGAAAATAATAAATATATTGACGTTACTGTGTTCGAAAATGTTCGGTGTGGAATATCGAATAGGCTGTTCATATGTCAAGAAGTTCAAGGCAACCATTTCAGGCATCTTCTGAACTGACCTCAAGATTATTACTTCATATTATGTCATTTTATTCAGGCAATTATAAAAAGTTCCGCCATTTTGTGGCGGTTGTAGGGTTGTGAATCATTTCTCATCAGAAGCTTCAAAATGATGTATCACAAGACCCCCCTTTCCCTTTAATTTTTTCCTCAGATGGTGCCCAGTTTCACTTCAAAATAAAGTTTTCATGCATCAATTTCATTACCCCAAATTTCAATTTTTGAGTTGACCCGTTAAAAACATAAACGGGGGTACATTAAAGCAAAGCACTGTCTGCAAGAATATATGCTATTTCGCTATGTCACCAGTGTGAAAATTGACCATTGTCAAAATTATCACCATAATGAAAACGTGTATCTGTTTATGTGGCTTAATCGCTTCTCAGATCCACATCCGCAGACTCCGCAGCTGTCAAGATAAAGCTGTATTTAATCCCACAGAGGTAATTCTAATCTTATACTGTTTTGACTCACAAATCCGAGCTATAAATTCTTCACGTCGAATCCCTGTATCTGAATGGCAATTTCGGCATAATGTAGTGGATGCTATAAATAGCAACGTACCTCCTTTTCTGACAATTAAATTAACGAAACTGCTCCATTTTCGCTGAACAAATTGAACGTCGTTGCCGAAGAAAAGCAGTAAAACCGAACGCTTACGAACGTCGTGAATGGCAGACAGAGAAATTAAAACATTTATTGGTTGAGTATCAAAAAAAAGATTATTTCATGGTGCGAAATGAGATTATTTCAAGTGGAATTCAATTTTAATGAAATATTAAGTCAGATTCTGACTCTTCATTATGGTAATGGGGAACATTTTTATTATACAGTTAACTGCAGTCATAAAATAATATTGCTCATTTGAGATTGAAATGGGCGAATTCCTTTTGGCACATCTCCGGAAAGAAGTTCGGGAAGAGATATGTGGTGGCATCAAGAATTTTCATCGTATATTTCCCAAAGAAACTGTCACAAAACAACACATAACAGCATCACAAGCGATTCATCAAATCAGATTTTTTTTAATTTTGTTGTCTCAACGAAACTTCCATTCTAGAATGAATAGAAGATTGTGAAGAACTTGAAAAGTTTCTTCAGCATCATAACACCAAGAACTATTCAGTTATTTTTTGTCTAGATTCATTTGGAAGACGTTTTTATAGACATAATTGATTCATTGTAAACCACACTATCATATATTTCATCATATTCATTATTTCATATATTCAATGCAAAAATTGCAATTGGAAAACAATGTTCATCAATTCCTTATCTGGATGTAACTGGCAGAAATGATAAATGCGGATAATGTTAGAAATTTTGCCCAGGTTTTATGAAGTTTGTTAGATGCGTTGAGAAATGTACAAGTAGTATCAGTTATACAAGTATGCTACTTATTGAAAAAATCACAGCAACTGATGAACTTGTTGAAAAATCGTTCAGGAATAAGAAGTCCCAAAGTAAAAGGTGGAGTTGAAGATGATGAAGAACTGAACTAAAAACAAAACGATTTCCATGTGCAGGATGCTGGATGCTGTTCTCTACATGAAAGAGTCGTTGGGCTTTTGTCTGTAATTATGAATTATGTAGTTGATCAAACAGAGTTTGAATAGTTTGAATGCATTAACCTGTTGTGAATATATTCAAGAGTGTTTGTCTTTACAATGCATACGTTCAGTTTTGTAATTTGTATTAAATATTTGAACTACTCTTCAGTTCAACAGAAGAAACTGCACAACAAATCATCTCCTTCAGCGAATTGGATTTCGAATTATCATTAATATTCGTGGATAGATCAAATGAATATTTGCCCATCTCAAAAACTCAGAAAAACGGACAAATGAAAATATTAGATATGAACTAATATTCAATAAATCGAAGGATTTTTCGGTCTCTGAAAACATTGCAATTGAATATTACTGAAGTAATAATATCTTATACGAAACCAACATCAGGGAATGAATGAGCTGGAATTGTTTCTATTCTGCATGATAATGATAATGAAACTCCGAACAGCAATTATCAAGAAATCGATTCATTAGGATATTTCAATAAATCGCCAAGTGAAACCATATACACCAACAAAACTACGGTACTATTTTGAAGTCCTTCAAAATTCTCATAATATGGTTTCTGAATGGAGTCTTCAAGTTGGGTGACAATGTACACAGGTATACATTTTCTACTCAAAATTAACTTGAGATTCAGAGAATAACACTGGGGTCGAAATAGGGGAGCAAATATTCGAACTTCCTTCTCTTCGTCTCTTGACGGACACTTTTTATGGATAATTATTATACGAGTATTACACGAGTGTTACAAGAGAAAAGTGATAATGCACAAAACAAATATAATGACGAAAGTGCAGCTCAAGAAAAAGGAATAAAAAACCATTCATAATAATGGATTGAAGTCAATGTTACCAAGATGAAATTGTCATACTTACTAGTACAGAAAAATATCTTCAGATATCACTCGCCTTCATTTGAAATTCCTCACATATTCCCCACATGATAATCCATTTATTTTAAATGGAAAAACTGTCTTCTCCTTCTTCTTTCTTGTTTTTTTTATTTCACCAAAAAGGCGTATTTTTTCCATTTTGTATTTCCTTTGCTTATTCTGAGCTACAATGACCATAAGCAAAAATCTCATATGAAACATAATTTTTCATTATCTCTTCTTTATGTGTTAGAAAATGATTACTATCGAAATCCTGATATTTGAATCAATACTCACGAAATACTTCCATGAGTATAAAATACTCACGATGTGAGGAATTTCGCACACATTGATAACACTGATTAAAATAATTTCAAGTCATTTTTTTTTTATTTTCGATCAAATGAGGCTGCCTTTGCTTGAAGTGAGAAAATTAGTGGTATATGTCTGCCTAGTTATTGTTTTGTATCTATTATGAAGAATGCCTGTATCAATTACAAAAAAGTAACGCAAAGCAAAATTTCTATCACCGAATTCAAAAAGGAGGAAGTCCTAAAGATGTTCAGTAAATCTTCCGATGAAAGCTGAGTGTATCCAAACGAAAATAACAATCATCTTACGCAAAGTCATTGTAACTGAAAGAAATTAATGTATTTCCTGGTATGACAAAATAAAAGGAGAATTTTATAAAAAATAAACCGAAGCTCTCTATCTTGGTTGTTTCTTTCGAACCAATAAAAGCATTTTCTTGCGAATTGATTGGTTTCATTTTTAACAATCTATATTATCTACGTTCTACAACGTACACACAGTAAGCAAACACTTTTGTATTCCTCAACCAGTGTCTTTGAGCGTTGAGGTATAAAGCTATGAACCATTGGGGCATGGGGTTAATGCCCCATGCTCAAAGTTTCACGATTCACTGAAGGCAAATATATACAAAACCACCAAACCTAAAATAACGAACTGACCTGATTTTCACTACTCAGTAACTTGAGCTGGTCGTTGATAAGGCTGTATTTCGCGGACTCTTCTTTCCTGAGTGCCCTCTCTTTCTTCAGCTCCGGACTCCAGAAGGTTTTAATGGAATGCATCGACGAGCCCAGTTTCTGATTGGTTAGTTCCAGTTCCTTTTTCAAGTTGGCCAAGTCACGTTGAAGATCGGAATTTTGATGTTGCAGCTCGCCAATGAAAGGTTGGTGGGAGGTGGGAGATTGACGAGCTGATCTGGAAATTCAAAGAGTACTCATCAGATTTTTCAGTGCTATGATCTCCCGAAAGTTTCTTGTAATTTTCAATTCTCTATATGGAAACATGCCAGAGTTACCCCCTAGCAAGATATAGTGATACAATCGATTTTCGCACTATAAATGGTCATGAATAAATATATTTCACGGAGAAAAATTTCATTTCTGACGTGCGATCAGGTTTTCGCCTGTGCTGTACAACTACAGCAGTGCTGTACAATTACAGAAGTGACTCTCATCACTGATGATATTTTGAAGTTATGTTATGAAAAAAAAAAATAACTTGTCTCATTTTGCTTCATTACGGCAAGGCTTCCGAAACAGTGAATTTGTCTATCTTGTTTATTTCATTTTATTTTATAGTTTGTATCCAAACTGAGCAATCAGGTCTAATTACATGGATGAAAACACATATGCAATATTTAACGTAAGATAATATTAATATTATCATAACATGCATTAAATACAGTTTCAGCTTATACAGGGTGTCCCTGGACTTCCTCTTTTCCTCTCGGGAATTATCATCAGGTTTCGTAAATTTTCCAGAGACAGTATTTTTAATTTTTCTCGAAGTTAAGTTGATTTTACTGTTCTATAGTCAGGCCATAAATGATAAAATTCAAAATACAGATACCTGAGAGATTTATTCTGTAGTTTTAGGGTAGATTGATATTCTCCGCTCCAAATTATACATGCAATCCCTAGCTTTGGTCCAAAAGAATGGTAGAGCATTTTAATAATACCACTGCTTGTGAAAGAAGTTGTTTGTCTCATTATGAATCTTAAAATACGATTTTCCGATTCAACTATATCATGAATCTGATTTGAAAAAGAAAAATTATAATTATATGTTACTCCCAAATCTTTAACTTTCCGTCGCCGTTCCAGAACTTCCCCATCCATTTCATATTGATAAAAAATAGGTTCTTTCTGATGAGTTATTGATATTATGCAACACTTCTCTAAACTGAAGTGAAGTTTATTTGTGCAGCTCCTTTCATGAATTTTGTTCAGATCTTTCTGCAATATTACAATCTAATTGTTTATACCTGTTTGAATATCTTCAGATCATCCGCAAAAAGTGAAAATTTCGAAAATTTCAACACAGACGGCAGATCATTAACAAATAAAAGAAGTGCTGGATTGAAGCCTTGTGGCACTCCCGAATTAGCAAAAAATTCACCAGATCAATTTCAATGAATGTCTCTTGTTGTTTTTCATGGAGCGCAGTATCCCTTTCAGACAACTATTCATCATAACGGGCTCAACGGTCCATAGGGTTCTGTTTTGGGACCACTTCTTTTCGTCCTTTACATAAGTGACTCTCATAGATACGTACATTCATGCAAAATTCACCACAAAGCCGATGAAACTCAACTATATTCCTCTTTCAGTTTCCATGAGATCAAGAGAGGTCAAAAAATTATCAATGAAAATCTTCAATCATCAGTCACCCAATGGATTGCACCTAATGCTTTCCGGGCAGAAAAATAGGAGAAGGTCAATGCGGGATTTTTTCCTTCGTGAAGGCAAGGGAAAATTTGGGTTTATACCGAACTCAGATTCACAAAACATGTGAATCAAGTTTGTAAGGCTTTTTTCAACCGTCTGAGGCATGCATATCCTAATAGACTTTGACACTGATGCTCGGCGTCATCTGAAAATACAAAATAGTTTCTTCTAATTTTCATACGGAATCTGTAAATACGATCACATAAGCTCATTCTCTGCGAATTGATAAAATTTTATTCTGGTGCTAAATGAAACTATAGGCTACAAAAAATTATTTTCCGTGGAGCAAAATTCATTTCATCCGTGGCGTAATTAAAATTTCTACATAATGTGCCATTCAAATTTCAATGTAGAAAGGATTTTTTGAAAATATATTCGCAATAGATGTTTTGGAATTTCCCATGAAAGTAATTTAGAAAGGAAAAGTAGGTGTATAAAGCTGAAGGAATTTAGAATGTAATGCTCTCAGAAAAATGGGAATGAAAAAAAATGGAAAAGACAATCAATATGAAGAATTCCATGAAGAAGTCACAGAACTAGTGACAGAAGGGAATTCCTCAATGAACTGTAACAACAAAACAAAATCATATTGTATCAAAATGAAAATAATTGGAAATGAAGAACATGAATATCATTGTCCAACTGAATTACAAACGGCTAATAGTATTAACTTCGAGGGCACGTAACTTGGTTACGAAGACTTTTAGGAAAAAAAGTTATATGAAGTACTGGTGATATTTTGACCCCATCTATACATTCCCGAGAGGAAAAGAGGAAGTCCAGGGACACCCTGTATATAATTTAAAATTGTTTGTATGGAAACGATTTCAAATTAATAAGGTATTTAGATCAATGGACATAGTACAGTAGATTCAAATTAAGAATAACTTATTTACATTATGGAATTCATATGATAGCACATACACTCGATATAAAGGACTCAAGAAATCGTGAAATCGGGAAGAATATACGTGGCGTAATGGGAAACAGTAATAGAGATATAGTATTCCATATTGTCACATATATGGATAAAAAATTGTATAAGGAAGCGATTACAGTTGATTGAGACATACTTTATTAGTGACACAATATACTAGACTACATATTTAGAAATAATTATCATGATAAAATTCATATTGCATGTACATGGTATAGGACACATAGAGAACTAATGAGTCTTAATATCACGATGAACATACATGAGGCAACGATTTTGGAATTCATGATACTGACTCATTATATTAGTTGAAGAGCTATTTCTGCACGGGGTATAAGTTTGATATATTTTTTGAGTTTTTTTTTGAACATTTTTGGATTTGTCTCGCATTTCAGGTTCATCGGTAATGAGCTGAAAAGTTTTAGCTTAAGTATCGATATATTTTTGCACGGGGTATAAGTTTGATATATTTTTTGAGTTTTTTTTTGAACATTTTTGGATTTGTCTCGCATTTCAGGTTTATCGATAATGAGCTGAAAAGTTTTCAGCCTAAGTATCGATAATTTTTTTGACCTGATGACTGATAGACTTCGATGAAACAAAGAAACGAACAAGTTTTGTAAAAATCAAAAGAAGACATTTTGGAACACAAAACAAAGCAAGAGCAGGTAACAAGCAAGAAAATATAGGAGGAAACACTGGAATCTTTAAAAAATTACATTCATGAAGTGGTGCATTCGAACAAAAAAACCTATATAGGTCAGTATTAATACAGGTGTTGAAATTGGGTTTGATTGTTTGGCCACCAAGGAATCCTACCCCATGCGTGGTTTTATCCAAGTTATTTCGCAGCCAGTCCATCTTCTCATCACCTCTCTAAAACTCTTTCATATATTTGATCAATTATTGAATGTATTCGAGCGGATTACTTGTCTATAATCCACGACAAATAACTCATCGTAAATATAAATTAGAACCATGTCTAAAATTCCGAAGTTTTGAAGATGTATTCTGGATGACTCCTTTGGAAGGGAAGAAATTAAGCTTGAATCATCAATATTGAAGTTCATGATTATACTCTCGAAGTCCCTAATTTGGATTAACCATAAAGCATCAATGTGATCAGTCAAAAGTCGTAAATGCCAAAGCTGTTTGTTTCATTGTATCACTTGGAGAATATATCAATTATTGATCCCACGTACCCAACAGAAATTACTCTATATTCCATTTACGTGACTTCAATCTCCAGCAAGATACATAAAGCATTCAGGACGATTCTTAGGGGACTATTGGAATACAAAGTGAATAACAACGAAACGAAATCTCGACGGGTTCAATCAAGGATGTAGAAAATTTCCATTTGCTGGGCAAATACACGGAAAGCAATGGGACGTGTATAATATACCGGGTGACACAGGAAACATTGTTTACGGTGCCATTCAGTTCTTTCTGTGGTAGGAAATTCCAATTTAGAAATAAAGTTTTAGTTCATCAAGGACATTTTTAATAGGAAAACATTTGAATATCTATTCCGGTTCAACTGGAAATGAAAATGTCAATAATTATGTTTTCTACGATCTAACAGTGATTATTTTTGAAATGGTAGGGTATAAGTGATGTTCTTTAATTTCAATATGGCGGCACTGTGACTTCATCCACGGAAATATTGCCAAAAAACGTCATGTAGTGCACAGAAGACAAATGCAGTTGTTCACTTCATTTATATCAAAAGTCCCAATAGAAAACGGCACATTTTTCTGTATTACATTCTATATTAGATTATCGGGTAGCTGGTTCATGGTCTGATTCACTGCGACGTTTTCAGTTCTATTTTGATGTTCCTTGATTGTTAGAGCTCATTGTCTAGCTTGATTTCTTTGATGAGACCCCATAGCCTTGACACTGAGTCGGCTATGACCCTTTAGTAGACCCACCACTACCCTTACAACCTTACGATTGTGGTTTAGCAGGTCTTCCGTGAATCTGGGCGATGGTCTCTTTATGAACTCTTTCGCCTGCCTCATTCCTGGGAACTTATTTCACCAATCTATCAATTCGGCTTGCATCCATGAGTTTATGGATGTCTTTAAACATGCATTCGCTACCCAGCAGACGGGTTCTGGACCGATCATAGCCTTAGATGCGCCTTCACGGACTAGAACATCGGCCTCCTCAGTGCTCTTGTGACCCTCACGTCCGGGTACCCAAGCTAGAGTGACCCTATTTTGGGTACTTAGCTCCTTCAATGCGCTCAGACAGCTTCCCACTAGTCTTTAAATGAGCTGAGCGCCTCAATGGGGAATGTTCCTCAATTCGGGTTATTACAGCAAATGCAAGTTTGAACAAAATAAAGTTTAGTTTTGTTGGGATAATCAATAATAATGCACTTTGTTGTTGCAACACATCACTTTATTAGAATAATTAAAAGTAAAAATAATCTGAATTTCTGTCAAACACTGTGCATTCATAAAGTCAGAAAACGGCCATGATTCATAAAATATATTGTTGACGCAATTGTTGTTTTTACACTATTGTGCGCTACCCATAGTATAATGAAAATAAAAGAGAATAAAATGTATTCACCATATAACAACAGCCCTCTTCAAATTTATACTCTTTCATCTATATAAATATATACACATATACAAATATATAAAATACAAAATAAATGTGCAGATTGAATTAATCTAAGCCCTAATCTATTTTTCAAAAATTTAGTCTTATCTAAACTTTCAGTTAATATATATCTGCTAAGTTGACTTTTGAATCAATTTTAGCATATTTATAATGCGTTCGGTCATAACAACTTTGGTATCGACTTAAGTAATTAACGCTGTATGCTATATCTGGCCTAGTGCCTGTACTAATATACAATAATGCACCTATTAGATTTTTATACTTTATACTTTCATCAACTGCTATAGCTTGTTCTAATTTCAAATATTAATATGTATATTGGATCTTTGCTTGAACAATTGACATAAAGACAGTAATCATAGTTACTTCTAACAAAATTCAATTTCTCAATTTCTAGGGCTCTCTCTAAGACCATAAAGTGTCTTTTGCAATTTGTAAACTCAATTGTCTTTAGTTTCGTAACCCTCCGGTTGATTTACAAACACTTCTGACTTTACATGACCATTCAAAAACGGTGTTTCAACATCCATTTGTTATATGAATAAATTATTTTTTCAACTGTGTGACAATGAAATTTTCAATGTTTGTATTTTTCCTATTGGTGAATATACATTTTCAAGGTATTCTTTTTGCTGAAATCCTCGAACAACTAATCTAGCTTTATAAATATCAATAATTTTCTTTTTAAAGACCCATTTGACATCAATCACTTTTTTATCTTTTGGCCTTTCAACAATTTGCCATGTATTGTTTTTGTTTAAACTATTTATTTCTCAGTCCATCGCTTTTTGCCATTGTTTATGATCATTGGAGTTCATCGCCTCCTCAAACGTATTTGGCACATTAGCATCAATGTAATTTACATAAATAAAATGTGATACGTGATCACCATATCTAGCTACTGGCTTTATCTTTCTTTTAACCCTATCTTTCATTACAAGTTCATCCTTATATTTATTATATTATCATCATTATTATCATCATCACTAAGATCTTTCACAAAATTATTATTAGAATTAGTTTCATTATCATCTACATAGTTTTCATCCATATCAGTTTTAAATTCTTCATTTTTAATATTTATGATTTTGTTAGTTTCCAAATCTCTATCCTTTTCATCATCAACCTTTTCCAGAAAAATTAATTGAGTATTCTCTTCGACTACCTGTACATGTCTAGCATTGATTATTCTATTATTTAATAATACTCTATAGCTGTTTTCATTATAACCTACTAACACTCTTAGTTGGGCTTTATCATCCCATTTACTTTTTCTTAAAACTTCTGGAACTCTGACATAAACTCTACTTTCATAGATTTTCAAATGTTCTACATTTGGTTTAGTACCGAAAAATATTTCATATGGAGTTTTATTCTCCACCGTATTAGCAATTGTTCGGTTCTTTAAGTATGCTGCTGTTTTTATAACTTCAGGCCAGTACTTTCTGTTGGTTTTAGCTCTCATTAAGCATCTGCCTATGTCCATAGCTGACCTGTTATACCTTTCTGCTACTCCATTCTGCTACTCCATTCATGGACGTAGGGTGAACATGGTAATAACCCTGTTTCCTTTTATCTAATGAAGTTATAAATATCTCGATTCAAATATTCTTTACCATTCTCACATTGCAATTTCTTAACCCTTTTATTAAATTTATTTTCTACTAGATTAACAAATTCTATGAAACAACTTGCAGTTTCTGCTTTGCTTTTAAAACAAAAAATCCTTGTACATTTACTGTAGTCGTCAATAAATGTCAAAAAATATTTTTCTCCACCATAACATAAATAAAGGTACATTAGACATTTTGCTTTCAATGCAATTTGAACACTTCATATCCGTGCTCTCAACTTTATCTGGCAAACCTTTTACTAATTTGTTATTTATTAATTTATTTAAAGATTGTAAATTCACATGACCAAGTGCCCTATGCCATTTCTCTTTATCAGTTAACTTTATTGAATTTTACCATTTGGCAGTTTTACATCAATGGGAATTTTCAAATCTACATAACTATGAAAACATATATCAGCCTTTATAATATGATCCGTACATCCACCACCTAACAACCAATTTATTTCATAATTATCATATCCTTCGCTATACCCTGTTAACTTATTCACTTCTGAATCACATACCTGAGCTGTCCATGACTCTGCTATAGAGCTGTCTTGCTGAGTGCTTGAAGACTCACCTCTCGATTGTCTTCGACCTGTACCTCGGCTACGATGAGATTCACCTCTGTTGTAATCTCTCTGTATTCCTCGTTGGGGTTGGCTTTCTGGATATCTTCCTCGATAACTTTGCTTTCCTTGATAAATTTTCTGACGGTGCCAACAGTCCTTTTTGAGGTGGCCAACTTTTCCACAGATGAAACATTGTACTTTAGTTTTTGTTGCAAAAGTACTCATATTCGTTTTCATGTTCTCGTTGACACTAGTACTCATATTTTTCTCCTTTACTTTAGACTTCACATAATCCACTGTTCTTTGTTCTTCTGGAATTACTTCAATAAGATCTCCATTGTTACTATAACTTGGGGGTGGAGCTATGAGTAAATATCTCATCTTCTCTGGTTCATCTAAATTTCCACCAGCTGATTTGAAATCATTTGTTGTTTTCTCAAAATCAACAAAAAATTCTTCTACTGTATTGTAATTATTCAATTTGATCTCTTCCATTTTACCTCTACATATTATTTGCATGGCAGTAGACTGTGTTGAATACATTTTGTCAAACTTTTTCATCATATCATTAGCTGTAAAACATTCACTGATATATTCTAATTGTTTATCGGAAATTGTGCTCAATATTATTGTCCTTTGTGCAACACGTAACTTTCACGAGACCGAAAGTATTTTCAATGAACATTTTCCGAATCGTCCTATCTGTAGAAAATATTTGAGGAAAATTGTATCAAAATTCACAACTACCGGTAGTGTACATAACAAAAAGCCCCCAGGTCATCCGTCCATTCCGAAAGAACAGCAAGTACAAGAAATTGGTGAGAGCGTAGTAAATCCTGAACAGTCTACTTATCCCGTCGCGAATGTTTGTGAGGTGACTTCTTCTACTGTGTGGAGACTTTTGTAGGGGAATAAGTATCATCCATACAAAATTAAAATGGTACATCAATTAACTGAAGACGACCCTCTTCGAAGAAGAGAATTTCGCGAAATCATGACGGAAACCATTGCAAGGCATCCTACCTATCTCCACAATATTTGTTTTAGTGACGAACGTACATTTTTTTCAAACGGCAATGTTCACAGACAAAATTGCCGTTATTGGAGTGACACCAACTCTCACGTTTTCCGGGAAACACACCTAAGTACCCAATATCTAGGAAATTTTTTGTGCAGGAATATTGGAAAACCATATTGTAGGACCTCTATTTATTGATCAAAATTTAACAGGGGAACTGTATTTGAATATGCTGCAAACTACTGTTGACCCTTTCATCACTGAAATCATCGAAGCGAATCCTGATGAATTCGATATATTGTATTCCAACACATCACTCCAGACAAGAAAGAAACTATTTGGATACTACTTTTCCCGATCGTTGGATTGACTGTCGAGGTCCTACAGAACGGCCAGCCCGCTCGCCAGATTTGACACCTTTGGACTTTTTTTCATGGGGCTATTTGAAGCAAAAGGTGTACGAAACTGAACCTGCTTCAATATTGGATATACCGCAGATAATAATAAATATTTGTAGAGATATTGACTGTCTATTACTGTGTTCGGCGCCCAGTTGTCATCTTGTATGTTTTATCTGTTCAAAAAATAAAGGGGGGGGGTCAACAAAATGCAGTGTCTGAAACCAGCACGTCTCCCAATCACCAGAAAAGCAATACTCTTCTAGTAATGAATGAGAATTTATATGATGCGTTCATTTTAAAACAGAAAACATTTGTTGTTTGTCCAAAATGAGGAGGGCCGGAATGGGAAAAACGGATACTGAAAAGTCGGTTAACTGAAAAAAATGCCCATTTACGAGATTATTCAATTGAAGTCTGGAAATTTTCAAAATTCCGTTTAGTTTCGCAGACATTCGATGGGAACCAAAACTCGCCAAATTGATACTAATTTTTTAGCGAAATTTACGGATATATTAAAAAACACTCCATCATTGACATTTTCAATGCTGTAAAAGATGGCTGACAGATTTTCGATATGGATCGGAGAAATAAACAACCATTGTGAGTTGTTTTTTTTTGTGTATCACATATAATCCTGGTCATGAAATTTATGTGAATGAGATTCAAAATAGACAACTTCACATTATTTAATCGACTTTGTACCTCTTGTGGTTGCTGATTTTTCCATATTCATCCTCCATTTCTCAGAAACATTGTATAAGCAGATTTCATTTTCAGGTACAATCATTTCTTACCTGGAACTGTAAGGTGGTTCATCGTCGAAGTAAAGACCTCGGTCCAGCGATCTATCCCGTCTATCTCTTATCGGTAAAAACTCTCTTTCGTGATCCATTGTGGGGCCTCGGTCCAATGACTGGTAACGAACAGACATCGGATTGGAAGGCCTGGAACAATTTATCATTGATCAGTGATAATTCAGAAATGAGTTCAAATAATTTTGTTACACGATTCATTTATTAGATTGTCAAGATTCGTTTGTTGGAGTATTTATAAACAATTCATTTATATTTGTGAATAGTTTCGAGAGGAGTACAAAGACTATTTCTTGTACTTCTCTGCTCCAACTACTATGAGAGAGCGTTGCTAAATGGACGACTATCAACAATTCGAAAAATGACAATGATATTCCATACCTAATTGAAAATTAAATAATTTCAATTGTACTTTTACTTTTTTGTCTGTTTGAAAACAGACATTTCGCAGATATTCTGCTGCTGATTTGTATCAATTCGCTATTTATCATTTCCAATAATTCAACTCTCAAACTGCTATCTACAACAGATACATGAATGGCATTTTACAAGTGTTGTTAATGACGAAGAATTTCAAGAACGAGGTTTTAAAGATGAACGAGAACGAGAGTGTTTCCTACTTATTCACCAAATTGTTCATGCAGTTGCAGTTCCGTAAGAATATATCACCTTTCCCACCAACCGATTTCCTGGATTCTTTGAAGGCCACTAGATACTCTTCGTGAGCAAAAAAATAGCAGAATCAATACTCCTGACCGCTCTGGATTGAATGATTCCGTACAGTCTATCTCGTGTTGTGTTTGAAGATATTTCGCTGGAAAAACACTCATTTGTTTGCTTTATAGTAAATTTTCAAGAGGTGGTAAAAACGTATGTGATTTTCTGGAACTTCAACTAGCGTTTCCTAATATGACTCATAACCAGCCCGTGCAAAAGTTTATTGTTAATCATCTGAAAATGAAACTTCTAACGAATGATGATCAACTGTATTGCCGAACATGCGCCAAACTAACTGACTATTATAAGAAAACAAGTATATCCGAGGCACCAGTCAATCTAATAATGACACTAATGGTCTTCTAACATGACTCAACCTCTGACGGAAGCACCAAACTCTCACGAAGGTTCAAAATAGATAAACACTTCAATCTAGAAGACCACTGTTATAATATTCATACAGTCATTGTTCACTGTGGTTCTGGCGTTGAATCTGGCACTGTTACGCATTGGTCAAATACGAAACAGACTGGTTTGACGATAGTTGTGTCTGGCGATATCTTGAATTTATTGGAGCCTCTGGAGACCCCCTATATTTTGTTTTATGAAAGAGGGGAAATTGGCAGATCAAGATTTTCAGATGATGTGGTGCTGCAGGTTTTTCCGGGCTTTCCTGTAGCTGAAAAAGCAAATGCGTCACTGGAGTCAATGAAGTCGCCCCGGAGAGCCAGTTAATTTCTGTTGTTTCATAATTTTATGATTTGTTTTACTTTCTCCACTGAAAAACTATTTCATTATCGATAAAATTTCACTTTTTATATAAAAAATTACCTCGTATGAAACCCAGATGTCGCTCATCAAGTTTTCATAGAAAGCTCCCTTCATACAAAGAAAATAGGATGGTGATGGCAACTCCTCTCGAAGAGACGTCATCAATGGAATCGACACAAGGATAAAAGATGCTTTCCAAGACGGCCGATGAGCCGGTACAATGCTAAGCCTCCAATGCAATGGCAGTTTTTTCGAAGGCCTCAAAAGCATTATTATTATCTTGGGACTTGTATGATGATGTATACATCATCCACCATATGTGGAAGGAAAATATGGTAAAGTTGGGTATCGTCAGCGAATGAATTGATATTGCAGACTTTTATTCCAGTCACCTGGGAGGAGTATATTGAAAACGAAAAGGCCCCAGTATAGATCGCTGTGGGATACCTGATTTGAGTGTTGAATGTTCAAAGCTCTTATTTTCGAGAACAACTTCCTGCTGCCTATTTTTGAGATGATTGCCGGTCAACACTCGTGAATTTTCTAAAAAACCTATATAATGTAACATGTTTAGTAACAAATTGCAATGAAATGTGTAGCAGTATGCACTGACCTTGATTAGTAGCTCTTAAGATATCATCGGTAATGTAGAGAAGTGCTGTCGTACATCTATAACCCCTACGGAAACCGGATTGAATTGATGGCAATAAAGAGTGACCACTTGAATGAGACTTGATCTGTGCTTTCATATGCCTTCTCTAGAACTTTTGACGAAGTTGAAAATATACTTATTGCTCTGTGATTGAATGAAACTTTAAAGAGAGAATTTTTCCGCATCGCTGGCCATTTTTTGTAGTTCAAACAGAAAATCATTGAGTGAGTAATGTACGGTACTATATGATGACATCAAAGTTTGATTGATGAGTTCCACATTGAGTCCAATGCAAACCTTGCCTTTTGATCTCAGGAAGTGTTTCGTCAACAAAGAAGTCATTAACCTCTCCATGACGACTTGTATGGTTCAGTGGGATGGATTCGATGAAAAACTTATTAATTTGAATTGGTTACATGAGATGATTTGAAATGCTACCATTTTTTTTTCGGTAAGAATTTGTTGGCTCTCAATGTTTTCCACGTACTTTTGGAGGTGACATTATTAAATTGATGAAGAAAATAAGTTTTTTCACCTTTCTATAGATAGACTTGTATTCAGCCCAGCACCACTGACGAAACAGCTCTGTCTGGTGTTGGAAAAGGAGATCACACAGAGATATAAGAGAAAAGTATGGTCGAATTTTCAGAATCAGAAAAATGTTTTTTCAGGAATATGGAAATGAGATTGGTATTATCATCCAGAATGTGAATTAATATGAATTCGTTTCATCCAAAATGAAACAAGAATTAATTCAGTTTTCGCCGATGAAAAACTCAATTTGTAGAAACTGACGTGGAAAAAACGGTTGATAACTTTATTGTCAAAGTTTTTAAACAAAATGCAGACAACATTTGGTAATAGGCTGAATGAGAAAATGTAATTCGAACATTTCAAACGTTAAACAAACTGCTTCCTACTTCACATATTTCACAGAATATGAAAGTGTGAAGGAATGTTAATATTATTCTTCTGAATACCATATTGGGCGAATCCATCGAAATTAAGAAAATGATGTTCATGTACAACTACATAGTATGACACAAAGTCGCTTTCCGCTGTCTGTCTTTATGCATGCTCAGATTTTTAAAACTAAGGAACGGATTTTGATACGGGATCTTTCAATAGATAGAGTGATTCAAGAGTAAGCCTCTCTCTCCAGAAAAATGTGAAGAGGGGGTAGATCTACAAGGATATCCATGGCCGCTGACGGTGTGGTACTGATGGCACCACTGATGGCCAGACAAGCCTGTCTCTGTAAGTCAGACAGCTTCGCCTGGGCCGTTTTCTGTAAAGCCTTCAGCCACCTAGCAATTGCACCATGAGTGATCATTGGTCTGACAATCATCACATAAATCCAATGAATTTGTATGGAACCTGAACCCCAAGTTTTATCACAAATCCTTCGACATGTTCATAGGAAAAGTGTGGCTTTGTGCTCACTTCGTGCTCACTTTTCAAGTGAGCACTCATTTCTTGTGATGTACTGTTTGGAACCTTTGATGTTGTAATGAATATTACTGGAATTTTTTCCCAACACCAAACCGTTATTTTAACACCTCTACACGTGTTTAGATCACCAAGATTAATCTTCCTCTTGAAGATGATCACTTGGTGATCAAAACACGTGTCGAGGTGTTAAAATAACGGTTTGGTGTTGGGAAAATACTCCAGTAATATTCTTTACCCGTTTCTGCTAGTGCATCATTATTACAAGTACTTCTTCTAATTCCCAAATGAGAAGCCATCCACTATATATTGTATTCAAAATGACATCATTTTGTCATCGGGATTTATCGAGGTTTAGTAATATAATTTTTTTCATTTGTATAAGGTTGAAAAATTTTGGGCCGAAATACATAAATGATCTTTGGGTTGAACATTTTTTGAAATAGTGAACTTGAAGGTTACTGTTGAGAGTCGATCTGGTTATCCTTGTTTTTTTTTCACCGTGAATTTTTTATGCGTACTATACATTTTATATCAAGCAGGTTGGTATCTTCATAGAGTAATACTTCTTTAAGTATGATCTTAATCAAGAGGTTTCATGCCGTCTGTAAAGATTGTAATGTGGTGATGAAAGCACCACCCCATACGACTATGCAGTATCTGATAATTGATTCAGCGAGACTATCGTACAAAATAATCATGTTTTTTCTTGAGTGAATATTCCTCAGATCAGCGTATGTGTTGGTTTATTATAGTACCTAAGTATTTTATCGATGATGTATCCATGTATCATCATCACAGGTGGAAGGGAGAAAGTTATGTGTTTGGTTTCTTAATGTTCAAACTCAGTGAATTGTGGTTTAACCATAGTAAAACTCTTTCAAAATCCGACTCCGCTTTATTATTTAATTCATCCCAATTCTCACTTGTGATAATTAGAACTGTGTCATCTGCATAACATATTAGATATCCTATAAATTCATTATTCTGAGCGATACTGTTCATATGAACTAGAAACTATATCGGACCCAATACCGTTCCTTGTGGTACTCCTATTTCGACCTTTAACCCTAAGCTAATTTCTTTTCCAATTTTCACTACTTTTCAGATGAATAATTCCTCAAGAGATCAAGTACTGAGCCGCGTATACCATTTTGTCAGTTTATCAAAGCAGTTTGCTATGGGAAACAGTATCGAAAGCTTTGGCAAGATCAAGGAAGACGGCAAGACAAGGATTCGTCCATGGCTTTTACTGTGTGCTCTAGAAAATCAAGTATTGCATTTTCTGTGTTTGATCCTTTTATGAATCCATATTGTCTTATTTTATTTATGTTCACCCTGCGGATTGATGTATATGTTAGGTAAAACTGATAAACAAAATGCAAAGAGTATACTCATTTCACTGAGTTTAACGTGCTGAAATATTTTTTTTCCAATAGATGAATTTATAACTTTGTACATAATGTACTGGGCAAATAAGGTCCTGTTCTGTTCACACAACAGACTGTACATACAACTGAAAAAATATCAGTTGTTTCATTTT